TATAAACCCAGCCAGTGTCTCTTCCCCTGCCAATGCAGAGTTGTTCCCTAGAGAACATTCTCTATTGTTGTGTCCATGCCTAATTTTAAATGCCCCAAGTGATGGGACCTTACTTCTCTAGAGAGAACATGCCAAAGCAATAGGAACTTGTAGCTCTTTTTGTACCCCATGAAAAAATAAGTCCACTTTTTACTATAATTTTCTTCTATCATTAATTAAATTTCATAAAATTTCATTTTTATAGGATTACAGTAAAATGCTAATAATTGTTTGTCTTCATTTAAAAACGTTAAAATAATCCAAATCTCCAGTTAAAATCTGATAGAAAGTATAGGAGAAGGATTAGCTGTGAGGAATTAACTAAGTGACATAATGTCAGTTTACTCTTCTTCAACTACCAAACATAACTGATTTCTTACCAAAATACAAGATGCCACAGATTCCTTCCAAAAGCATAAACTACACGATTCCTCCCTAAAACTGCTGATGGATATGTTTTGTTGCTAAAATATACCTAATGTAACAGACCCTTTCCTGAAGCACCCAGCCAGCCCCCTTGCTAAAATACAACAGATTCTTCCTAGAATATTGAAAGCAATATGGTCTCTTCCTAAAACATACACATATATAAACATATATAAAACAATTCAGCTCTTACTAAAACATATAATGCAGCTGCTGACTCCCCCTTCCTAAAATGTATCAGTAGATCTCTGCAAATCCACAGATATATCCTCGGGTATGGACGCGGCTGCAGATACAAAATTTGTATCTAGAATCCTGCAAATTTGGGGATATCCACTTTATATCTATGGATATCTGTGGCTCATTTTTACAGATGCAAATACTGTACAAATTTTGTATCTGTGCAGGGCAATACTTATCAGGCAACTGAATCCTTGCCAAACCTGTTTGTATACGATAGCCCTTTCCCCTACCCTTTGCCTCTCTTGTCTATTTACAAGCTAAGATCTTGGGAGCAGGACCACATATGATTACTTTGTGTTTGTCAAGCACAGTGAGGTCCCTAGGCACTACTGGACTAAATGTATATAGATACAATAGTAGCTAATTCTTTCCTCGCAATAGAGGTTGCAGCTGGTCGCACCCCTTCCTATAACTGCTACAGAAGCCTGAGATGCCGCGGATCCTAGGGTCTTTGCCAATCATGAACTCCTGTTCCTACCTCTACACCAGGCAGCCGACCGGGAAAGTCCACCTCCTCCTCGCTCTGGGCAATGGATGCCTCTGGCTCTGCTCTCTCTGTCTCTCCCTGGCAGGACACGCCCAGTTGGTCCAGCCCTGTCCTAGCCACGCCCCTTCCCCAGCCCTCTCCTTACAGAGCGAGCGCCCCGCAGCCTCGCTCCCAGGAGGGAGAGGCGGGCAGAGCGTGTAGCTTCAGCGCGCCGCTTGTGACGCCATCAGCGAGCGCCGGAAGCAGGGCGGCGGCGGGGCCCGGTCTCTCAGGAGGGTGCAGGCCCGCTGGCGTAGCACGATGCCGGCGGGGAAGGTTTTCCGGCGGCGGCGAGCGGACTCCGAGGACGAAGAAGATGCGCAGGTGTCCGAGGAGGTCAGGTGGGTGGGAGAGCCCGCCAGGGAGCAGGGCCCGCTCAGGGTGGTGCCACGTTGCCCCAGGGACGCAGGGCGCCCGCGGTTCTCTCCAGGCCGAGTCTCGCCGCCCCGGCGTGTGCCCAGGTTACCCCGGGCTTGCAGGCTCCGACCTCCCCTTACTGCCCCGCCCCCGTGCGCAGCAGCTGAGCAGGTGCTGCCTGTCTCGTGGGCAGCCTCTGCTTCTGGAATAGGCCACTAGGAATGTAAACAGGGCGCTCACGTTCCGGTGTGTATAGACCCGTAGAGCTGGAAGAGACCTCAGAGGGTCAAGTCCAGCCCCCTGCCCAAGGCAGGACCAATCCCAGCTAAATCAACCCGGCCAGGGCTTTGTCAAGCCGAGACTTAAACACCTCTAGGGATGGAGACTCCACTACTTCCCTAGGGAACCCATCCCAGTGCTTCACCACCCTCCTAGTGTAGCACAGAGCGCTGTGCAAAACCGTCATCGTCTGAAATTTTAGTTGGTGCTGACTTCGCTGCTGCTTTTTACATAGCCTATTATAACACTAGGCAGATGTCACCAAGCTAGATAATTTCATGGAGGTTAGGTCCATAAAAGGCTATTAGCCAGGGGATAAAATGGTGTCCTTGGCTTCTGTTTGTCAGAGGCTGGAGAGGGATGGCAGGAGACAAATCGCTTGATCATTGTCATTGGTCCACCCTCTCTGGGGCACCTGGTGCTGGCCACTGTCAGTAGACAGGCTACTGGGCTAGATGGACCTTTGGTCTGACCCAGTACGGCCGTTCTTGTGTTCTGTGTTCTTATGTCTAGATGAGCTCATGTACTCCCTAGAAGACCTGGGTACCCCCAGAGGTACACATACCCATGGTTGAGAACCACTGGTCTAGAGCAGTGATACTCCAACATCAGTGGTTGAGGAGGTAAATTAGCAATTGACATTACCCAGAAGAAAAACAATAGTGTGATAAAACAACAAATGGTCTGGTAGCACTTTATATACTAATGAAACATGTAGATGGTTTCATGAGCATTCGTAGGTACAGCCCACTTCTTCAGATGACTGGAGTTATGAGTTGGGGATATAAAAACTCGAAATAAATAGGAGTGGGGAGAGAGAGAAAAAGGGAGGGGTGTGGGAAACAGCATTATTAAGTATCTGGAGAATGGGTAATTAAACCTAAGCAGATAAAAATCAGAGTCAATAGATAGATACCTAAAACAGGAAGGATACCACTCTGGGAGCTGTTAGCACCTTCAATGGTTATTAAATGTGTGGAGTCCCTCCAGCCCATATCATGATTGAGTCATTGAGTGTGAGTCATTGTTTTATTTGTGTGTCTATATATGTTTTTTCTCACAACAAAATGACTGTGTTATTATTTTATCAAGTACAATTGACTAATAACACAGTAAAAGCATCCTGATTGGTTAATAATTAAATCACACAGCATTTCAATATCATATGCTGCAAAGCGCCAAAGGAGACACATTAAAGAGCCACTTGCAGTTTGTGAGCGTCAGTCTGAGTGTCACTGCCCTAGACCCTTGACTATCTCACAAAGCCCCACTTGTGCAATTGACTTTAAAAAATGAAGAGGAACCTGTAAAGTTCAGGGTGAGTGGCAACCTTCTGTGGGCCCACTGTGCCCCCTTATTTTTTGTATAGCATGGGCTCGTTGCTGTTGAACGCTGTTGTAGCAGTTGCAATGAGCTACATGCACAAGGTGCTTTGGGATCCTTCACAATTTAAGTTGTTATAAATTGAAGTTATTTGTTGTTACTAAACATGGAAAAACAATTGCTCGGCCAGTGTATGTACAAATTTAAGGCCTGTTCTTGCATTCCTTGGGTGCTCGGAACAGCAACCAAAGTTTTTGGTTTTTTTGGTGCCCAAGAATCAGCCCTTTGGATGTTAAACAGGATGGAAATAGACACCTTGTTTTCTTATATCTGTAGTGCCTTGATGTTCAAAAGTGCTGAGCACCCAGTAGCTGCTAGTGAGGTCGTTGGGAGTCATGGGATGCTAGACACAGTTGAAAACAAGACTCTTTTATTTAAACCCTAAATACAGATTTAAGGAACTCAAACACTCAGTTTTGAAAATCTTGGCTATTTGATTAGGCAGCAGAGAGAGTGGATTTCTTGATTTTTTTAAAAAATATATTGCAAAACACTCACATGCTTTTGAGAGAGGTGCATCAATCAATTCCCCCCTCCTCCCCAAGGAAAACTTACATGTGGAATCCACTTATTTTGAAAGGTGAGATTAAGTAACAGAATCACGTGCCCATTGACAGCAATGACAAAACTGCCTTTGATTTCAGTTGCAGAACTGGATTTGTATGACAGTGTTGCAAATAAATAATCAAAGTAAAAGTATTGTCTGTGCTGTTTACCATTAAACCTGTAATATTTTATTGTGGAAAATTCCTGCCTTTTTAAATTAAGACTATCCTAATAAATGTTCTTTCTTCAGATTAAAACTTGAGGAAGCAAAAGAAGTTCAAAGTCTCAGAAGACGGCCCAATGGGGTGAGGTAGGTGTTGCCGAAGTAATATTGTGTTTCCTCTGAGGGTATTGTGTCCCTATCTTTCCTTGCACCTTCAGTCAGAGTAGTAATATCACAGTGACAACAAAAATCTGACTTGAGAGGAGCAGATACTTGAAAAGAGTGAAGGCAGATTGGAATAGTGGTTCCCAGCATACCTATAGCCTTAAACCATTAGAATATGGTCATATGTTACAATTAATATGTCCTATATTGTTAATTAACCATATCACCTGGACGGTTTTTATCTCCCAGGGTTATATTGTTTTGGGGAGATGTGTAGGACTCAGTATCTTGCTCTACAATGTGGTGGGTATGGGTTATAAATTGAGACCTATAAAACAGGTCGTTTTTTCATTTTCTTTTCATAAGCTTTTTGAAGGAAAGAAATGTTGTGTCATGGCTAAAAAAGGGGACTAAGAGTCAGGATTCATTCCGTATTGAGAGTTCCATTGCTAGCTCTGATGGTGACTTGCTGCATGACCTGGGCTAAATCACTTAAGCTATCTGACTCAGTTTCCTCATCTGTAAAATAGGGATAGTAGCTCTGTAGCACTTGTTGTGAGGAGCAATTATTTAGTATTAGCACTGCACTTTGAGATCTTCAGGTTGAAAGTGTTAGAGAAGAGCAGAAGAACATTAAACTGACCATACTGGGTCAGATCAAAGGTCCATCTAGCCCAGTATCCTCTCCTCCAACAGTGACCAATGCCAGATGCCCTAGAGCAGGCCTGCACAATGTACGGCCCATGGGCCGCATGTGGCCCGCAGGGGCTCACTTTGTGGCCCATGATGATTACGGGCGGCGCGACCCCATCTGATCCGCTAGCCAGGTGGAGGAGCAGAGCGCTGCTGGGGAGGAGGAAGTGCGGCGATTCTCACCGCCGGGCTACCTGCGTGCAGCTCCAGCACGAGGAGACAGGGCGTGAGCCAGAGGGCGGGACGCCGGCAGACGCCAGGAAGCTGGTGTGACGTGGTGTTGTGACGTCATGTCCGGTGACCGCCGGATTAAAAAAGGCTCCTGGCAGCCCCGCAAACTGGAAGGCAGAAGCCAGGTAGGGGAGGGGAAGGGGCTTGTGCTGAGGGGGGGAGGCAGGTCAGGAGAAAGAGGAAGGCACCAAGGGACCAGGTGCAGGAGAGACAAATGCCAGGGGGCCAACTGGAGACAATGAGGAAAAGTGCAGGAGGGGAGGTGTCAGTGGAAGTGGGGGACAGGGTGATGCTGGGAGAGGAGAGAGAAGGGAGCTGTATGTTGTGCAGGCCTGATTTTAATGAAAAATTCAAAATAAAGTGCTAATGGCATTGGAAGCCGTACGTTGTGCAGGCCTGATTTAATTGAAAAATTCTTAATAAAGCATCACCTCCCCCCACAAACTTACCCTTGCACCTAGGGTTGCCAGGTGTCTGGTTTTCTACCAGACAGTCTGGTATTTTCGCTCTCTGCCCAGAAAAAAAAAAATTCAGAAAATATCTGACGTGTGCAATGTATGGTATTTTCTGAATTTCCGGCTGGGCACTGGACGGAAGCCTCGTGGCGCCTCCTTTGGTTGCATGCTGAAGCCAGGCAGTGCGGGGGGTTTTTTTGTATGCCCGACGCGTGTTGGTGGTGGTGGTTTTTTTTTGTTTTTTGTTTTTTTTTTCCTTGACACAATTTTTTAGCCTGTGTGTTCGGTATTTTTTGGAAGAGCATCTGGCAACCCTGCTTGTGGCCCGCAGCTGTTTTCTTTGGAGTAATATGGTCCTCGCCGCTTTCCGAGTTGTGTAGGCCTGCCCCTGAGGGAGTGAACAGAACAGATTATCATCAAGCAATCCCTTTCCTGTCACCCATTCCCAGCCCCTGACAAACAGAGGAGAGGGACACCATTCCTACCCATTCTGGCTAATAAGTATTGATGGATCTAACCTCCATGAACTTATCCAGTTCTTTGTTTGAACCCTGTTAAAATCCTGAAATTTATTCTTTTTAATAAATTACCAGCAGTAGGAGCATAGTGCACCAGTTCTCTGTGAATTCAATTTGTCTTTTTGTGTGTGTTTTGCTAGTGCTGCAGCCCTCCTTGTTGGGGAGAAATTGCAAGAAGAGACAACGTTGGTGGTAAGTTCTGAATATTTTCATGACTGCACTGCTGCTCTATCCAGTAGAACTCTTTCAAAGTCTAGTCCCAGGAAATGACTTGCCTTAATAAAAAGCAGGTTAGGATGCAGCTTCTTACTAAAGGAAAAACCAGAGGCATATTTGATAGAAATGTAGGGTTTTCAAGAAAGTGAACCTGAGGATGGTATAAACTTTGGTGGCATCTTCCTGCTATCTAACTATTTATTATTTGTGTTGCAGGATGATCCCTTTAAGATAAAGACTGGTGGGATGGTGGACATGAAGAAGCTGAAAGAACGTGGCAAGGACAGGTTTGTGTGTGGGAAACTTAGTCCTGAAAAACACACCCCTGAGTGTGACTGAACCTACAGTAGTTAACAGCACCAAGAAGGCTTTCATTATTGAAGAGCCCAAGCAAAATGCTCCAGGCTTCATGTTGTGTTGAAGGCTTTATTTAATGCAGTCTGTCTGGTTGCTTATACCTTAGGCTGTCAAATTATATAAAACATAATTGTTTCATTTAGGATTAACGAAGAGGATGACCTCAATCTGGGAACCTCTTTCTCAGCAGAAACCAACAGGCGGGATGAGGATGCAGACATGTAAGTGTTGGCTTTGTTATAGTTTGTATGCTCTGATTCACTGTCCTGGATTGGGTGTCCCAGGTCTATATTTTTCTGAAAACCAAGGGTTTTCAGGATAGCTTCCAAATTGGCATCAAAACAACTGCTTGATCATTCACTTTCTGGACCACAGCACGGTCTCGGGGTTAGAGACTAATCTGGCTGGCTGGCCAGGTGGTCCACTGGCACTGAGAGATGTTGGCAGCCTGCCCTAGAGGTTGGTAAAAAACTTATTGCAGGGAAGATTCAATTATTTTCTTGTTCAAGGTAGTAGTTCTCTTGCTGCTCAGCCAGTAGGCAGGCATTGAGTGACATCAGAAATCATTCCTTCTTTCCTCCTACCTGCTAGGACAATGACACAGCTGGGATCAGTGGTATTAGAGGAGATTGCAGGAAATAGAACTTAATGTCAGCTGTCCCCTCATCTGCTGCTGTTTAGGATGAAGTACATCGAGACAGAGCTGAAGAAGAGGAAGGGGATTGTAGAAAGCGAGGAGCCAGGCATTGAGTGACATCAGAAATCATTCCTTCTTTCCTCCTACCTGCTAGGACAATGACACAGCTGGGATCAGTGGTATTAGAGGAGATTGCAGGAAATAGAACTTAATGTCAGCTGTCCCCTCATCTGCTGCTGTTTAGGATGAAGTACATCGAGACAGAGCTGAAGAAGAGGAAGGGGATTGTAGAAAGCGAGGAGCAGAA